ACCCAGCTTTCGCCTTCGAAAAAAGTCTCGCTTCGCTCGACTTTTTTCTCCACCCACCCTAACCCTAACCCTAAATCAGAATCTCAGTCAGAAAATTCAACGTAACGGGCATACCTTGGCTGAGAGTTATAGCGTTTGGGGGAGGGGTGTTCGTGATACCTTTGGCAATGCCCTTTTATACCTTTTCTTTATTTGGCCAAGCAAATAGATACAAATGAGTATACACATCTGACTAACTGGCCAACACTAACGAGCGCTTGTGACAGAGTGGATCTTACATGGCCATTCAGAATCGTAACCCGAGGGTGAACTGTCGAACGTAAACCAAGGCCTTTTTTTTCTGGCACGGATTTATGGTCAGGAAAAGGCTGGCTGGATGTCATTGCGAAATTCTAACCCAAGGTCATTTGGGCGTAAAAAATGCTAACCCAAGGCCTTTTTTTCTGACACGGATTTACAGTCAGAAAAAAGACCATTCAGAAATCCTAACCCAAGGCCTTTTTTTCTGACACGAATTTAGAGTCAGAAAAAAGGTCATTCAGAAATCCTAACCCAAGGCCTTTTTGCCTTAAAAATCCTAACCCAAGGGCCTTTTTTCTGAGACAGGTTTATGGTCAGAAAAAAGGCCATTCAGAAATCCTAACCCAAGGCCTTTTTGCCGTAAAAATCCTAACCCAAGGCCTTTTTGCCATAAAAATTCTAACCCAAGGCATATATGGTTGGGTTAGGAATAAAAAATACCATCTAACCACCCTTTGTTTATTTTCCTGACCCATATTTGTGTCAGAAAAATTTTCTGACAAGAATGAGGGGGTGTAGTTTCCCTGCCAAACCATAGTTTCCACCAGAATCCTGTCAGAAAAAAAAGGAAACTACAGTGTAGTTTCCGCAGACAAATAGATAGGTCGATGTCGGGAGGATATGCGGTGTCAGAGACATCATCCAAATCGATGATCTAATGTCAGGAGATGTCGGACGGACCACCATTGATGTTCGGGAGGAGCTCTTGGGTGATCATTCGGCTGAGCTCAAAATTACATCATGCGCGAACGGTGGTGTAGGGGTAGTCGAGGTGTAGGGGCGAGAACGGTAGACAGTATCAATGCATCGTTCCAATCATTGCGGCGGGACGTCGGGGAGCGACAGCAAGGGTAGTCGAGGAGTAGGGGCGAGAGCGGTAGACAAATCATTGAACGCCTGCAAAGACCGGCGGAGATCGAGTCGGGCAAAAGAAACAATGCGGGCAGATTCGATTGCGACAGTGCGACAAACCTTAGAATCACGAAGAAGTCACGTGGAAAGGAAGTCACGAGGAAATCACATGTTGAAATCAAGGTCGAACCCTTGGCGTCCAAAAACCATCTCCCAACAGAACCCGAGCCCAACAGGCCCGGAACGCACATGTCACATGTTGAAATCAAGGTTGAAAGCTTGGCGTCCCAAATCCATCTCCCAACAGAACCCGAGACCAAAAGGCCTCGGAATATATATACCGTTTATACTGTATATTCAACTGTAACTGTATAGTATACACGCGGGGGCGTATACATATACATTACGGTTGGACCCTTAAGTGGACCATCACAATCGATTCAACTGAACTTGGACACCTGTGAAGCGATGCAAAATGAGATCATATTCATTCCAACCGAGTACACACCCAGCTCTAAACGACCACAACCCTCGTTCAGCCCCGTCGCTTACACAACCGCCTATTAAAATCAATAACCTCCCAAAGCTCCGTTACAGGCGTCGTCCTCGCATAGAGCACCCCTAGCGGATCCCACTCCTCCTTCAACGCATTCAGCCTTGGATAATTACTCCCCCAATACGCCTCCTGCCAATTCGGCTCCTCCAAATTCCCCTCATTCACATACGCAGCACCGTACGGACTAGCAGCTCGAATTGGTCCATCGATCTCGTTCGTAAGACGTTGCTGAGCAGCGGGGATCTGCGAGAGCGAGCCAGCGGTGTTGGGGAGCATGACGTTGGTGATACTGAAGGAGGAACCGTTACGCCAGGCAGGGTGGACGGCGTTGTCGACCCGAAGCCTGGTCCAACGATGTGCCCGATGATACCTCCACCTGCGCGTCGAATGGCGTCGACGATCTGGTTCCCGTGCTGGGCGATATCCTGCTTGGTGAATAGGCAACCTCCGACGAGCGAGTGTCACCGGCGGTTTCATCTTGGAACATGTCAATGTAAAGGTCGTAGAACGTGCGATACTCCCTCACCGTCGTGCTATACTGAACTCCAAGAGTTCGAAGTTGGTCGTAGAAAGGTTGGTGAACTTGGTTGATTCCCGCAGTGTTCATGTTCGGCCCGACGAACGGTCAAATGTCAAGACTGGCGCCGAAGAGCTCGTACGAGACGAACTGCCGTTGTTGACGAAGTGGTTGGCGAGGTTGTGGAAGGCAGCGAAGCCCTTCCAGAACGTGTCCTGGTTAAAGGTGTTGAGCTGCATGATAACGCCTGCCATGGGGATTTCGGCGAAGGTGTTGACAGTGGCGGAAACGATGGCGGCGAAGGTGGATGGTCCACCACCTCGTAGGGCCCAGAAGAGGTCGGGATTCTCGACGACGTTGGCGGTGCGATACTCGCCGTCCGCAGTGATGACCTCGAACGAGAAGGCTTGGTCAGCAGCTGAAGTCGTGGAATCAGCGATCGTGGTACACCAATCTTCAGGAACGCGAGCATACCCATTCCGTAGTACGAAGCCAGAGGGCCGTGTCCTCCACCTTGAATATAATCACCAGCGAAGCCGACGGTCTTCGAAGAAGTGTCAGGTACGTCGAGACCCGCGATAGAGAGAGGGACTGACCGGGCACTCTCCAGTCACGACGGCCACCGGGGGATTCTGCTGATTCCCCAGCCTCGACAGCTCACGACCCTGAATTCCAGCGCCAACGGTGACAGCAGGACCACTGTACCATCCAGGTCTCGTGTAATTAGCATGGAAGGTGACGTCTAGGAGAACGTTGAACGAGGGAGTAGCGGCGAGAAATCGTGCATACGAACCTTTGAACAAATGAGCGTTGATAGCGAGAGATCCGTAGCCCGTCGAACGGTCCATGAAGTCGTGACCAGTGTTGCGGATGATGAGACGAACGGGTTATCCTA